ACGTTTACTTATTACGTACGTACTAGTATATATAGCACATAGCACACACACACACATATATATATATATATATATATATATATATATATATATAGCACATAGAGACGTGTACACATGCGGGCAGTGGGCATCTACCTACTTACTCGCGAGTCATGGACGGTAAACAGTGCGTACCTCTGTTGCTCTAGCTCTCAGCTACAAATTACGAGTAAATACGAGGTCGACACAGCGGAACTGTTCGGTCGCACTGCAAACAGGGGCTGAATGATGTTACGCAAGACCCGACAACAACTTAGTTTGACCACGTCTGTCACCTGCTAGACAACTCGTAGGGCAGCCCGTGGCAGCGGGCAATGACTCTTTCCTTGTTGGCGCGAGGAGGGTGTATGCAGCCTAGCTCTGTTTATAGTCTCAGCACGAAGAATGTTTAGTACATTATACTATAACATTGTACGATGTCGCTAACCTGTGTATAGCGCTCGAACAGCGTAACTCATTATGGGTTATCGCTAGCTAGCGTGTGGGTACGTCACCAGTACACCAGTAGGAAATTCATTTTCACCAACTGTACGCAGCGGAGCGTTCAACTGATGTTAACGCCGAGTCTATACTTCTTTTGCAACGGTACTGTTTGATTATTGAATTTTAGCATAATTATATGTAAAATAAAATATAAAAAAGCAGAAACCAATTTTTTTAAATAAAAATAAAGCGAATATATAATTATATTGTTTTTATCGTGATTATAAGAACATTAACCGGTTATTTACAATTTTTAGCATCGCCATGCGAATATTATTTTCTGGATCGATTGCACGTCGTAGTTAACTGAGGTTATACAGTGTCATGTATACCTACGAATACGCCGATGAATAAACACAGACCCGCACAAATTTTGGTAATATGAAACAAAGTCATTATAAACAATTTTGTGATTTTTATGTGAAGTATATATTTTCTTTAATAACCGAAGAGCTGCGCGCGCTTGACGCTACGTCTATAAGCGTGACAAGCATGCATATAATATTAAAGACATATACGTACAGGCCGAGCACTCTGTATACATGCACTGTTCGCAAATTTGCACATGCACATTTACGTTTGAATTACTACGTATAAACTTACGTATGTAATGTTTTGGGAAGTATTTGTTACACGTTTCATTGCATGTTAAATATATTTTAGGCATCTCTGTCGATGACTGGATGTTTAACGCATATTTATGCAACGACCCAGACAAATAAATGCACCTAACAGAAATATAATCATAGTGTTATATATGTGATCATCTACATTCATCTAAAATAATTATTAAAATATCATTAGTTTTACACACACACACACACGCGCGCGCGCGTATATATGTATATATATATATATAT